TGAACTCATAACAGGATTTCACGATGAGCTGGCATCGGTTAGAGAGGGTTGTTTCGTCCTAGTTTGGGAATCCTCATCGGTAAACACCCGCCGCCAAGGTTCGATTCCAGGACCTTCTGGTTACAAGGCGAGCTCGTAGACCATTAAGCCACTGAGACCCGATCCAATGGCCAGCCCATGAATTCTAATTCCTGCCAATTCACGATGTAGCGCGACCACTAGCAATGTCTCCGACGAGTATTTTTCCCCACATCCGGCCTGCTGTACCCTACTGGTCACGAATTCGCGCTAGAACCCCAAGTAACCCTAGTGGCTTAATGGTCTACGAGCTCCCCTGTAATCATAAGGTTCTGGGTTCGAAGCCTGGCAGTGGGTGCGTACTGATGAAGAGTCGTGAAAAGGGAGGACGAAACAACTGGTCATTACTCCCAGGTTTCCCAGTAGTTCTCTAATCTATGTCACCTCATGGTGAAATCCTGTAACCAATCATTCAAATCTGTGCAAACAAATACTTGAACTCATAACACCTTGTATGTTGCATCTGTATGTTTAGATAATATTCGAGACCAATGCAAAAGTGGTCGCTTTAGGTGTAAAATCACCATTCCCTACCTTTTACTCAATTCTAAAAATAATACCTGACCTAAAAATAAATAAAAGACAACTGAAAGCATGTGAAAATATGCCTGATTAAGCGGTTGTCATCATTCGGATATAAAGGAAGGTTTGAGAAGTATTCAACACATCCAGAAATGGGATACTGCATAGAACTTATTGGTGTCATTTGACTCAAGTTGTGCTTTATTCATTTTACATTTTTATTTCTTTGCGTTTCCAGTAGGACCTAAGGCTTTAAGTTAGAACCTTGAAGTTACAGTAGCACTGGTGCAGCTTTTATGGGATAGGGTTACCAACGTCATGCCCAACCTTCCTTCCTTACTGGGTTTACTACCGGCTAAGCAAGGTAAAGTACCTGGCCGACCGGGGATCGAGCCTTGGGCCACTTGTCTTCGGTTTTAAATGGAATATAGGGCTCCATCAGCACATTTCCATTTCATCCTATTTCTTGCATATCTCTTTAGCTGACTCCGCAGTTGCCCATAAGCTCTCATTTCCTCCTCACACGACCTCCATGTCACCCCCGAACACCCAACTTGTCGTTACATATTCAGGTTACACTCGATTGCCTGATGTTTGGTGTTGCTTGAATGTCGCATCGGTGTATACCTTCAATCCATTTCCATTTTCTTTTACATATTTGTTGGTTGGAAGGTTCTTGGTTGGTTCACTGCACTGTCAAAGTTCCTCGTTACTTATCGTTTCTAACCAATCTGATCTTCAGTATGGAGAGAAGGTAACTGTTCATTAATGTCTGCCACGGCCTACTAGAAATGCTTTTGGGCGGCGACACACCAAGTCTCTGAACCATATAGAAGAACTGATTTGACATTAGAATTGAAAATCTAAATCTTGTTCTACCTGCTGAGTGTGGTAGATTTCCAGACTGATTTCAGAGTGATGTAGTTCTGTCTTCTGATCCTGTCTGGTTTCGACAACCCCATCCGTACTGTTGCCTGTAGTTGAGGCGATGCTGCCTAGACAAGTCTTAATATAAGGGATAATAAGTTTGATAACCTGATTTCTGGCCTTGATTGAGACCAAGGCACCAAAAACCAACAACAAACATTAGACAAATGCTATGTGTTATCACTCCTAGAAAATATCTATTTATGAATAGACTGTGACTTACGTAATCCGATTTCAGAGGATCGATTTTTTTCTTGATGACGAAAATGTGATCTGAATGGTTCTAACTGTTGGAAAGACTAGATTTTCTTTATAATGATGGTAGTTTATAAACCATACCTATTAATACATAAAGTGATATTAATTCTGTTTTGTAATGTCTGAACACTGGCGATAATGAAATGTTGATATTTAGCTTGTTGTGTATTCATAAATTGGTAAAGGTCATTAGTGTGACTCAGGAAAGCAATGCTTACTTGTGTGCATTGGTTGTGAATTACACATTGTCTAGAATTTCATGACACACCCGGACTCCGAACTTTGACAATTATTAGTCATTGTATGTGTGAGCTGTTTTTCTTCCCATGACTTGGCAATATACCGGTTACTGATAGTCTGTCCTGATGATATACTCATCGTTCTATCTAATTAGATCTAACGTCATTTGTTTTAATTGCGTCCGGTTGATTCTACATCTCAAGGTTTATCCAACGCACTTTAACGCTGAAAAAGAAAAACAAGGTTATATTTAATGAATTACATTTGCACTTTTCCTTACTGTCCACATTCCTTGTTAGTTGTCAGATGTCGAATTGTTTAGTGTAAAATAGCATCATAATTGATGTTTGCGTGTTCATCAATTTCTACTGAGTACCTCGTCATTCTTAGAAATTACCAACACATATCGATATAATTCAAATAACTGCCACTTTTAATTGTCAATAACAACGTATATTGGGTGTGATGGCTTGTTTATAATTCATCCGACAACAGTATCAAATTACTGTTTCATGTTTGCGACTTTTGACCTTACTATTTGATTTTATCTTATTGCATTCACTGATGATTGCCCAAATACTGTCAATGTGAGTGTCGCCTCCTTTTTAGATCAGTTCTCGACTGGGCTATCTGATCTTCTGATTCAATTTGAAACTATGCAGTGGTTTGAACGAGCTCTTATCCATGTACTAAGTCATCCTAATCTTAGCCCTCATCTAATTTTGGACATTATAAAGCGTTGTATTCAATCGATGACGAATGGTTAGTTATAATAATGTTATCTCTAAATGTTCATATGTTGTACTTATTTTTAATTCACGTAAAATACCCATTCAGTCATGAATTTAAGAACAAAAAGTTCAGCGAAGCGTATCTTTTTGACACAGAAGTAAGTTCTGCACCTCACCCTTGGACCGTGGGTATAATTCCAAGTTTTACGACCTTGTTAATAATGTTTTTTTTTGTTTTTTTTTTATTTTTGCATTGCGTCATAGTAACGCCTTCTTCTTAAACAACCTTTTATTTACTCTTTCCACCTATTATGTAATTTATTTTTTGGACACGTGTCTCCATTAAATTCCTATTCCCTATTACTCACCCTTTGTCAATACTCACCAATCTTCAGCCCCCCTGGTTACAATTTTGATTATTCATCATCTTTTAGAAATATTTTCATGAAGTTAACAGTAACCATAACTAATTCATATCTTATTTTTGTTTGACAGTCCTAATATACGCGCGCACACACACACACACACACGAAATAATGATATATACATGCGATTGTACAGGGAAGTGAATGAATTCACCTTAAAGACACTCTTCGCTGAACTTTTTGTTCTTATACTTATTTTTATTTTTTTTATTTTATTATTTTACGTTCCAAGTGGAGCATGGGGTTACAAGCTAGAACTTTAAAGTTTCGGTAACAGTGGTTTTATTTTTACGGGCTGGATCTCTAGCCTCACGCCCAACCTTCCGTCTTCACCATCCTTACTACCAACCCAGGAGTCCTACAGCTGAACACCCGACGCTTCTTATTTTGATAGGACATTGTAAATGCGTCTGAGGTGTATTTTATCCCCCTCTTGTTCACAATGCAATGGCGAAAAATATAAGAAGCCTATGTAGTCAAACTTTATTAAAGTATTCAGAAGAAATGGGTGTGTCACAGCATCGAATATTTGATTTTGATACCAAGTGAATTGTAGTGAGGTGGAAAATATATTTTTTTTTAACTAATTGCTTTTATTTCATAGTAGTACTGTAGTTAGAGTAAGGGGTTACACAACAGTCTATTGTATTTTATTTTATAGTTATGGGAACTGTGAGAATAATGTTGTGCTTAGTTTTACATACATGTCCAATACGTTAATCATTGCTATTTAACTGTTATCATGAACATGTATTGACTGAACTTACTATCAATCTGAATTATGTATATTTCTACTGTTCTGTCACGGTGGTAGAGGTGTTAAGAATCAATGACTGACTGAATTTCAACATAAAACTTTGCATAAAATTGTAGCGTGCGTCGGTGGCACAGCAGTTAAGACGCTCGCCGACCATGCACATGGTCCAGGTTCGATCCCCGGCCGGCGCACTCCTTTACCTCGCTAAACCAGAAATAGTTCTGGTAAAGAGGAAAGGTTGAGTATGAGGCTAGCACCCCCATCCTGTAAAACTAAAATACTGCTACAGAAACTTCAAGCCACTAGCTCGAGGCCCTATGTTCCACTGGGGACGTGAAGGAAATAAAAAAAATAAAATTGTAGCAACTCACATTTCTTCGCTCCATACAGCACACAAAGTTAGTGGGGTGGGGGAGGGAAAACTTCTAAAGGAAGTATACTGAACACAAATGTGGGGGAGGAAGAATAATTACATGGAGACTAATAAGAATTTGATAGTTCATGAGGATTGAATACATTTACACGTTTGAGAATGATTTTAAGCCGTATCACCAACACTTGCCAGCCATTCATCTTTAGAGTGTGGAGGACGCCAACGAGGCAGCCTGCGCCTTTCTCCATGATTAGCTTAAATTAATAGTCAGAGACTTCATAGATTGATGCCAGATTTGAATTTGACCACTTCTGACTCTTTCCTAACCTAATGCAATCTCAGATAACACTGCTCAACGTCAGGAATCAATGATTAAGTGGCATTACTTACGATTAATGATATTAGAGAATATGAGGTCACTTTTAACCACTAAATTTGTAAACATCTTCATTGGTATCCGGCTTTTTTGTCTAGTTATTTTTCATACTGTTTTTGTTTAGTTTCTTTCCTTGGTCAGATGTAGGAGTTTGAACTGAACTGAATTTCTGCATACAACTTTGCTTCAGTGTGTTTGTCTTCATCATGTTGTTTTCTGTGTTAGTACTTTCACGTCTTCCATAGATTGTGTAGCGTATCTATCCAACAATCAAATGTCTTAATCACTTGGTCATACCTGATTGTGGGATTCTATGCTTTTCTGTTTAGATGAGAATACAAGCAAGCAGTTTAATGTAATAAGGATCAAAATATGCAAAAATGTGGAATATTTAATCACCTTTTATCTCACCTTTCATTCTTTTTATGATCGTGATGATACTGAGATCGAAGAAAGATGTGTAGTCACTAAAGAATCTTTCAAATCATGTATTGAGGTAAATTTCTTATCACTTTCAATAGGCTTTATATTTGTCATATTTATTATTCCCCATGGTTGATGTTTCGAATAAAACTATAGAAATTACCTTATTCCTTAGTGGCGTCTATTCTTTACTGTCGCCTCATTCACTTGGTCTGCCTGGCTTTATTTTATGATTTTGAGCAGGAATCGCTACGGAGACGAAATTACCGGAAGAAGATAGTTCTCCCAAAGAATAGAGGTGTATTACATTGGCTTAGGCACTCGACTTTCAGCCAATTGGCCCCGGGTTCAAATCCGACTCCACTTACTTGAGCTTGGACAATTGGGCAGTATCATTAACCCCCACACAATAAGTGTGGCTTACAGACCACTACTGGGTAAATAAGATCTGACTAACTAACTAACTAAGCCTTCCGTCTGCAGAACATAGTGGGCCGTTGAATGTATCTGATAGTATTCGTATACAAGTGGATTATAAAATAGCAAAATTTCGGGAAATTCGTTTATGTACAAATATCTGTTTAAAAAAACTGCACCATCCAGGGTGTGAGGGGTAGAATTTGTCATACTTACCTTATTAAAACAGTTTCTGAACTTCCTTCACACAATAAATTTTAGCAGTATAAATGCATGATGACATTTATATGCTAGTGATTGATTGTTATGAGTAGCTGGATACCGCCTATCCCACCCATCAGTAGTGTTTTCTAGGCAGGTCGAAGTGATCTAAACACCGGATGGCTGTTTCGTTTCAGTGGTGTACACTACTGTGTCGGTGGCACAGTGGTTAGGACTCTCACCGACCATGTACATGGTCTGAGGTTCGATCCCCTGCCGACGCACACCTGATATCTATGGTCGGCCTGAAAAATTTTGGCTACCGATATCACATGCTGAAAGTTCCATACTTGTACCAAAAATACAGTGTGGAATCAAGCTGTAATCAATAAATAAATAGTTGGTTTGAGTGATATATCAACCAATCAGTGGCGTTATAATGGACAGTTACTGATTCGTGGTTGTAGTGTAACTTGACCAGAATGTGCCGCCCCCAAACATGAAACTATAACCAACTGATAGCTTGAAAATATTCCTCCCACAAAAGTCAGGTTTAACTTTGATAACAGCGGCAACATTTTGTTGTTCAAAATTCAAGGTATGTATAGTTTAAAAAACCTAGGGAATTGAAGTCACAAGCAAGCAAATAAGTCTGATTGGTTGTATGACATCGCAGTCGTCGGGAATTGAAGCCGAAAATAAGCCAACTTAAAATCTGTCCGGTCAGGTTATCGTGTCACTGCATGCATAGAGCATGACTTCACGGCTAACAACGATAGGTTGTTCGTCCTAGCAAGTAATATATCTAATCATGCTTTTACACTTGCTTTCTTGATTGCCATACATTATATTAAGCAGATCACATATTGTGGTGACATTCCACTTCGAACTGTGCAAGTAATAAATGGTGAATTTAATCGCAAAGTTTAACAGTAAAAAGTTTTAATTGTCATATAAGGTTGTTTTGCAAACCAGGGAGTACTAGACAGTTGTTTAGTCCTAGTTTGAGACTTTTCTGCAGTACGCATCCGCTGGGGTTCGAACCCAGGACCTTCCGGTCACAAGGGAAGACTGGCTACGGAAAAAAATTGCCTGCAATTCTAGTGAGAAGTTTCATAATTAGTGGGGTTAACCCCTTCGGGTGTGACAACAAATACTCACCGATGACATTGGTCGGTGGTCGGATTAAAATCACGAATTGGTAGGAGTTGAGTTTGGATCCATGGGCTTGCCATGGTCTCTTAATGTTGTAAGAAATGAATAGAATGTCACTTAGTCAGTTATAATTATCAGGGTGATTGTTGACTAAGCGAAAAGCAATGCTAGTCTCACATTCATACTTATTATTAAGGGTCACTTGTTCATAGCGTAAGTTATAAACTTTCAATGCGTTCATGGTTTTTACACCATTTATTATCCTTTAGAATTGAAGTCGACTTTTGTAGACCAGACTTTTATTCTATATCGTCTGGCTTATTACTTATTGTTTTCTAAAAAATTAGTTTATAGCTGATTTACTGAGCTGGGATCCAGAAGATGCAGGACGTTGTTTACAACAATATGCAATTTGTGCATCAGTTCTGGGTACTGCTACTACTGTTGTTAGGAAACCACTTCCTATTCAATCATTCCTTAATTCATTCCATTATGCTTTTGTTACAAATACTGACGGAGAGAATACCTCAACTGATTCATTGGGAAATGATATCCAAGAATCGAAACAACATCTTTTGCCAAGAATTCGTTCAGATAATGCACGCAAAACGTTGACAACAATTGGTGAGTTGCTTGATATGTTTTGTTAATTTAATGAAATTCAGTACCTTTTTTTTCTTTATTTGTTTTTTTTACTAAATGTTCGATAACCATAAATTGATATCAAAATTTAGTGTATCTCTGACTTCTAAATTTGAGGAGAATTAAATTTTTGCTGTTCTCTTTGTAAAAATATGTGATAATACTGCCTCATTTTGGAGGTTATAGTGGTCTCAGAGAGATTTGAACTCCTTACCAGCTGGATTTTTGTAGAAGCACTGGAAAACCTTGATTCCAACCTATGGTACATCTACCTTTAAAGATATGAAAAGAAAGAATGTTGTATTAACCCGTGTCAATCAGTAGCCCTCATGATATCTTGTTTAAGTAAAATCATTGTTAAACTATTTGACTTCTCTATTCAAATACTGACAATCTTTTAGGGTAACATTTTAACATTCCATGGTATTTGTTGTATTCGCAATTGGCGACAACTGAACAATCTCAAATTTTAAACCTTCCTGTCTGTCTTCGTTGGCATTACAACGTGTAGGTGTCCCACTTGTTCTGCATGTCACAGTTTTCATCAGTGCTTACTAAGCCCTGTCGTCGTTCTGTGGCTGTTAAAAGATTTCAAAACTAGTTGCTGTGGCTCCTCTGGTATGTGGATAGCATTATACTCTAGCGTAAAAAATATCACTACCTGACCGGCTCCCAGTGTATAGTCCTTCCAAATTAATTTTTTCGCTGGATATATCATGTAGTGAAACAGTGTTATTTACTGGACGACAATTTATTGTTCATAATCATATCAATTATAAACAAACAATTTCTTTTCTTTATTCCTTCTCATTCTTCATGAGGGTACTAGATTTTTCCAGTCGTCTGTGTCAGGTGTTGAATCATTCCTGTCCCGTGTATATTTAGCTGACTGTATAAGTAAAGCATCCGTTGTCAAACTCTCCCTCCACCCTGTGATATTAGATTTTAAGACTGTTGTCTTGCTCTATCCTATTTTATGATTGTGTAACTACATGTAGTGCTATAGCTGAGTATTTTCTAGATTTCGTATCTAGATTTTCGTGCTCAGCTAGTTTGATAGACCCCGTTCTGTTGATTTAACCTGACAGTCATCGTAAGATGTTAGATGAACTAAATTATTTTGTTGAATGGGCTCTACTGGATGGTTTAATCTGTGGTGAGAGCTGGCTGTTAGTCAGAATTGGTGGACAGTAATTTACGTCAGTGTTTATGTCCCCAATATTGGTCGTGAGGAAAATGAGAAGAAAGGCTTTGCGTAGGCGGATACAGTTAGCATATAGATGATCTGACATTCAAGAGACAGTTACGAAGAGATGCAAGGTTTACTTTCTGTCAGAAACAACCAATCAGAAGACTGTGTTTTTCCGCTAACAATAATCTATAAAATGTACATGAAATATATATAAATACGTGCTGATTTCCTTAATAAACGATCTGTTGCCTGGCCCTTGTCTTCTGTTGTTACAAATCTACTTAATCTATCTCACCAATCCTATTTTTTACTGACACAGGATAGAATAAACCGAAATACAAATATCGGTTTGAGTTTATGGGTTTTCCGTAGACATCAGTGCTCAACTTCCCATCTTTCCTTTTTATGCTACAATCTAACATTGGAAGCTCCCCTTCATAACTCTCCAATATATAAGTGAATTGAATTGCCCCTACGTTTGTTTTGGTGTGTTCTAAAATTCTAATTATATATTGTGTTTTTAAATACAGTGAATGTGTCATTCACATACCTTCATCATGCTTTGGGGTTGGGGCTAAACGTTTCAATCGCCAAGTTCTCACACCTATCCATGAATATATTTGCCATTATTGGGGCTGTTGGCGATACTATGAAAGCCTCCTCAGTTTGTTAGTATATTTTCCTGTGGAATCCACTGTGAAATATGTCTAATAAAGAAACTAATGTGGAATTGCATACTGCGACAGTGCCCAAATTCTACACATTAGTTTGTAGCCCTCTCGTATTGTTTTGTTAAATGACTCCATAAGAATAAGAAAGGATTGTGATACTTGTGGATGCTTCTTCGTAGTTTTAGCCTAAATCCTCACCGACCCCTGTTTAGGTGTATTAAATGGAACTTTGCTGCAAAATGCTAAAAGCTCAGATGTGATTATATCAGTGGGTGATTTTATTGCCTAACTAGGACTGTCAGTCATTACTTTTCTCAAAAAATACAAACTAACAGGTTAAGAAAATTAAAAAAAAGTGCGCATGGGAACATTAATACAACTTCAAATCGTGGTTGAGTTATTCAAATGGTATAAAATGGAGCAAAATGGAGTCACTTTGTGCAATGTGAAATTCAGCATCTTACTTACTTAACCACGAAGGGGTGGTGAGCTCATCACTCGAAATTACCAGAAGAACTAACAGATGTGAACTATATTTTGCAGTAAGTGCAATGTAAAGCATAGTCTTGTTACAGGTTCACTAATGCCGTTGTTTTTCTCACTCAGAACACTAGACAATACTGAAAACACATCCTACTTTTTTAGTTAAAAGCATCTTAACAGTTTCTAACTGTTACTTCCTATTGTTTTCATCACATTTTAGGATGTGTCATTTTTGAAGCATATATAAATGGCCTGCAAACATTCGACTCCTTACGGAAGATCGTGGATTCGTCTAATTTAGATCCAATATTACTTTTGGTATGGTTTGTTTCATTTCCTCTTGGCTTCCTCAAGTTTTTGATATTGTGATGCTGCGTCATTATTTTCTCTTTTTCTAAAAGCGTATACAACTCATGACTTATAGCGATGGGTAGGTTAGTTGTATGAAACTGTAAGTTACACAGATAAGTCTATGAGATAGGAATGAATGCAAGTGATGAGTCCCAGTTTACTGACACGCTAAAAGCTGCTGTTTATTTTTTGTTTGCTGGTGGATATGATAGCTAATCTATGCGGGAGGGGACTAAATTTCTACTGTCAGTAGTGTTCAATCAAGGAAATAAACAGAGTTCAGTCTTCACCAAACAAAGTACTAGATGGCTAGTGGTAATTACTAACTAGTGTCTAATCAAGGTATCCAAAACAGTCCTACTGGCGGTCAGTCGTCAGCCCGAATAGCTCAGTGATAATGTCCCTTACTGCAGCGTTGGTTGGTGATGTGGGCTGGAATCTCACGAGAGACATGAGTTCCTTCAAGATTGGTGACAGACGACTGCCAACAAGGATGAAACCTAGGCTGTAGGCTTCCCGCCGATTGCCTCCATCCATGTAATAACAGTTGATAATACATATTATATTATCGGACACCTTTGATAAATTGATTAAAAGAAACCTGTAAGTAACTGATTAACTAAAAACTTTCTAGTTAGGTGTCTTAGCAAATAATATAAGTTGTTGTGTGGTGAGAGCAGGCTGCTAGCCAATTGGTAGACATTAATCTACGTCAATGTCTAGGTCACTAATATTGGCCGTGAGAAAATATGAACAAGGCTGATTCAACGACCAATCACAGCAGACTTAACGTGGGCGAATAAGATTCGCAGATATATGGCTTAACTTTCCGAGAAACCAGAAATAATCAGTCAGAAGACTGCGTTGTCTACTTGAATCAGCTATAATAATGTACATGAAATATATATAAATACGTGCTGATTTCCGTAATAAAACGATCTGTTGCGGCCCTTGTCTTCTGTTGTTGCAGTTGTACTTTTAAAATACTCAGTTTTCTCTTTAAATGTTCCTCTATCTCTTTCTGATTTAAATTTGCAAGCCATAGATGCTTTTATCATCGGTTTAGCATTATGCATATGTATGTCTTTGGTGTGTTTGTTTTTATTTCTTTACGTTCCAAGCTTTGAATATTTAGTAGCAGTGATGTTTATTTTTATGGGGTGCGGTTGGTAGTCTCACGCCCAACCTTCCGTCTTTCCTGGGCGTAGACGAGCTAGTCCAAGGTAAGGTTTTGGGGGTACGCTGACTGGGGGTCGAACCCATGGCCACGTGGTTGGCTGGCTGGCTGGCTAGCGTTCGTGCTACTGACGAGAATTTGTAAGCAGTGTATATCATATGATGTCCTCTGCAAAAATCTTAAACTAAGAAGCCACGAATGAAGTGTGGAACAAGAGAAGTGTAGGAAAGCGTGAATCAGTGTAGAAATGAGGAGGAAAAGGCAGAATACTAATACTTTGTGCAAACTAAATTGTCTGTATAAGATTGTTTACTGTTGGAACTTACATCTCAAGGTTTGTTTTACACGTAAGATTTTCTTTCAATGACCCCTTTGAATTGTAGTTTTGCTTCACTGCCTTGACCTCACTACTCAACTCAACAGGCGGTATTTTTGTTGTTTTCTTTACTGTTTTTGAATTCTTAATAGTTTTCTTTCGTCTTGTTTATACTAAATGAGGACAAGTACTTAAATTTGCCAATTTTAATCTATCGGATGCATCATATATTCTGTTATATGCTGTATCGAATTCTTCTTGAACTATTGTCATCATCATCGTCATCCTCAGAAGGAGAGAACAAAGAAGAAGAGGACGAAGAAGAAGGAGGAGGGAGTAAAAAAGGCGAAAGGAAAGAAAACGATAAAATTTCTGAAGAATATTTTTATGAATTTCTTGATATTAAAAATAAGAAATCCACTTCATCGTGCACAAAATTTGAATTAATATGCAAGCAAATTTATGTGTATTGTTCAAACAGTTGCCATTTATCCTCAGCCTATTTGATTGCATTGATAATGCGTTGTCTATTGTTTCAAATATGGCAAACATTTGAATCAGAAGAGAATATCCTGGAAGTGTTATTCAAGTGTATGCAAGTAGGTTAGCGTAAATATTTATTTTTTAATTTATTTTATTTCCTTAATGATCAGCTTTATTCGATGAATATTATCTGTGTGTGTGTGTGTGTGTATGAAAAGGCTAACCGTTTCCGATCACAGTTGTCTGCGTTCTATCTCCCATGCTGGATGGTATAATAGAATGAGAGATATTGAGGTTAGGTGAGGAGTGGAAGACAATGGATACAGTTGTGAAGTTACATTGATTGAGATGGTTAGGACATGTGTTACGACGCATGCCTGCCTAGCCATCGATCACCTTATTGGACAGGCAATGTTAACTGACGTAGGTCAGACTGGTAGAGGACTAGTGGTGATCAAAAACTAAAACTTGGAGTCAGTTCATGAAATCTTTGGCAGTTTGTTCGAGCCACATGGGGAGCTGATGGCTTCCTGGTTTGTATTCTTCAGGATTTTTAAAACCATTTGCTGGCTCAAAATTGTTATGAATGGAGCAGATGCATTCACTTTTTGTGAATCTGTCATATCCAGAGTGATTTCAGACTAATGAAGGTGTACCTTGCCTTTCCGTTTCTGCCTTTGAAATCTTCACTATTTCAGCCTGTGGTTGGAAAGATGCTTCCTAGATAAGTGAACAGAGTAACCTCTTTCAAATATCTTCCGTTGATAGTAATTGGTGCTGTTTGTTGTTATTGTTGGCTGGTTACCTTCATCACTTCTCTCTTCTCTATGTTCACGCGAAGTTCTGCCTTTGCTGCTTCTTAACCAGTTTGTTGGTTTTCATCTGTAAGTCTTGGAATTTATGTGACATTAGACGTGAATCATCCTCAAAATCCAAATCCCAATACTAAATATCATTTATGAACCATACAGTTGTCGAAATGAATTGTGTACTCCTTTGTCTAAACAGTCACTGTTAAAGAAATCATATTTCTCCCAGGGCAATTTGGCGAGCTGAAACTACATCATTTCGGTCAGTTTATTAGGCAGACAAACTATAATGTAATTCACATTCGTATTCTTATTGGTGTCAACAATTTACAGTCTTACATATCAATGTGATGTTAAGGAACGAACAGTAACTTATAGTAGGCAGGACAAAAACACGTGTCTTACCGGTGTATAGAAGACGAAATCAGAACTGATGTTTTCAACGTGGACATCTGGTTCATTGGCTTAGGCACTCAACTCAACCATTGGGTCCCGGATTCTAGACCCACTTCAGCCTGAGTAGTATAGTCAGCACTAAGGCAATAAACGTTAGGCTTGTTGCCTGTAACGTAGGGAAGACGTGTCCCGGGAATAGACTTGTAGTCTGGAAGCAGGAAATCGATGTGTCCTTCAGAGAAAGACACACGGTCAAGAAATACTCCAGATACAGCAAAAAGAAGATTAGTCGCTGCCAGAACCTGTGGTCCTATTCAACAATAATAACATCCGAAACTCAAGGTTGCCTCAACAGTACCGTTAGGCAGCTATACGGTCAAGGTGATTTTGTTAGTATAAAAGAAGTAGTACTTAGAATATAGTAGAATATTCCTAGCGATGTGGGGTCAAAAAGTCTGTTCACAAGAATCACACATCAACACTTCCCGCAGATAGACCAAGGTCAGAATGATCTCGAATCACTCACACAAAATCACATTATTAATGTAAGCACAACGACAAAGAGAAGCATTAAAATGAGAGATTAAACGGTGAGAAAGAGCAAATAATAAGGATCAAGTCAACATATGATGATATGCAGATGTGAGAAAAATGCTAAAGAGTCTTTGAGAAAAACGTATAATGATTACTAAGTAGGTGAAACATACAAATAAGTATAAACATTTTAATTAAATCGCTCAGAAGCGGATTTTCCAAACAGTTATTCCGTTACATTGGTAACATTGATGAAAAGCTCAGCACCTAATATCCAATCATCAACTTAAGGATTTGCGTAACAGGCAAATGATGATATTACCATCCATTGTGTGTTTTTTAAAAATTCTCATACGTATAAACTTTTGAATTGATTGCTTTAACTGCAATATCCTGCTTTCTTAAATTCATGTTTTGTTTTTGTTTTTACAGCATCCTGAATTCACAGTCAATAATTCTCCTGACAGTGGAGCTGAAATTGAAAATAATAATTTTGTTAATCAATCAATTGAATTCAAAATACCTTTGAGAGTATCATCAAAATGGAATGCTGACTTTATACCAAATTTACAGCAGCTTGTTGATAAATGGCATCAAACTTGTGCTCAGTTGGAAGGTGTCCTATCGATTGGATTAGTGTTGTTATGTCCAGTGTCCGACGAATCAAAAGATACAACACCCCAGCGTACTTTTGATTTCAATTTACAATGCGTATTGACTAATGGTCGTTGTAAGTGAGATTTCTCTCTTCCTCTGGCACTGCTTGAAACATTTCTTCATTTGTATGAGAATAGAAGTTAGGCACTGTAGTAATGTGTAGTGTGATAGAGTCATGCATTTGATGTAGTTGTAGGATTAGTTTTGCCTACAGATTTAGTCGGTGGCACAGTGGTTAGGACTCTCGCCGACCATGCACATGGTCCGGGGTTCGAGCCCACGCCGACGCACACTCGATATCTATGGTCGGCCTGCGAATTTCGGGCTACCGATATCCACGCTGAAAATTCCACACTTGTACAAAAAATACGGTGTGGAATCAAGCTGTAATCAAAAAAAAAATAATAATAACAAAGTCCTCAGTACTGACGATACAGAGTCTTAGCTTAACTATAGTTAAAAACAGACTAACTTAAACTTTATCTGTTTCTAAAACATAAAATAAAGCGTACAATTGCACCAAGAAAAGCACAAATCCATTGTCACTCAAGAAAAGACAGAAACATACCGAACAGTGTTGAAGGAACAGACAAAATGAACAGTTAATTAATTACATATACACACAATAGAGTGACAGGAAATAAAGAACATTCAAGGTCACATCACGTGGTGAGAGTTACATTAAATTAACCAATAATCGCGACAAAGGGTAACATATATCGATTAGCTGTCCGTCAAACTATCTATCTATCTATCTATCGCGATTAACACTCCCCGCGAACGATCACCACGTTGACTTGTCGTATCTGGAACCTTCAAATTGTCTGCTTCTTCCAACAAACATACGCTTCTTATATCGCGTTCGACTTTTTGAGTTGCAGTTTTCAAACACACCTTCCTGACGCGGCCATCTTGGTCATATTACACCTGCTTAACTATAGTCTTTGCCAGAGACCTCTCTGTGTCAGTACTGATAACCAGGACGAGATCACCAGGTTGTAGGTTACGCCTTATCTCCAACCATTTAGATCTTGCTTGCAGCATCGGAGGATATTCACGTAGCCATCTATGCCAGAATAAATCAGTCAAATGTTGTGGAAGTAGTTGACTATAGTGTTGGAAGAAAGCACATCCATCTTTAGCATTCGCTTTACCTTTGTTATATCGTAATTATCTTAAGAATTCACCAATTGCTGAACGAGTCACAGTTAAAAGCCTTTTACGACCAAAGAAAATACACAAATCAGGTGCTTCGTCCTTACCGACTACTTCATCTGTACGCACCATAAAATCGTCAGCTTCAATCTAAACTCGCAGAATTGCATAACAAGCACAATTATGTGCTTGACACTATGATCCAATGTCATTAGCATTTTTTGCTGGAGAATAAAACTCCATGGAAGTTACAACTGAAGGAGTCATTGACAACCAATTAATATAGACTACATCTAGGACATCGCCTTGAGCACAGTCAGTATTCAAACCGAACTGCTCCAGAACAAGAGGTAAATCAGATGAATAAATTCCAACGCGCTCAGCTCGACACTTATCTATAGCAGAGGAAAGGTTTGAAAACTTGCTGTCATACGTTTCTCCTGGTTCATACCAACCTTTTACAAGATCTCCATTTATGATATCTTCAGTAGTTTTCGTGTGGAAATTTCGTTTTCCATAACAATCACGTCAAAACAGTTTACCAGAATCATATCCCAACAGTTCATGAAGTCCAACTTGTAATTCAAAGGAACTTTCAGCATGTTCCACGTACATTTTTTTGTCTTCATTACGTTGAAATTCTGTTTTAGGATCGTTGAAACGAGCACTAAGTACATTACCCAAAGAAACATTTTTAAATTCATCAACTTGTCGTACGTCATCATAGTTAGGAATATTAGTTCCAACAGGAATTCCAGAAGTTTCAAACGTCACTAAATCCAAACTAGTAAGTTGGAATATTAGAAATTAACTTTTTCAAATGTAGAAGGCCATGGTAAATTTGTTAACAACCTTTCAGCATTATTTACAAGTCGTTGGAATTTTGTAGACACTGATCTATTTACAACAGTGACAAATGATTCAAACTTTGCATGAACGCCAAAGGGATCACGGTATGACTCTATAAACCCAATATAGTTTTCAACAACAGGGTTCTTATCTTTAACCCATAACCTGGAGGCCTCTTTATGAGTGGCTACTTTAACAACAGAAGACAAGGGCCGGCAACAGATCGTTTTATTACGGAAATCAGCACGTACTTATATATATTTCATGTACATTATTATATATATCTATCGCGAATAACAGTAGTAGCATAGTTAGTTAGCTAGTTAAGTCTCAGTTACCCAGCATTCGGCTATAAGTCACATGTATTGTGTGAGGGCCTATCATACTACCCAGTTGACTAGGCTGAAGTAGCCAGGGTGGGACTCGAACCCGGGACTGGAGTGATTATTTACCGATGATGATAATAGTAATAAATAACACTGTAACACTGTGTACCATACCAAATAAATTAATTTCATTATGGCGTATGTTGCCATATATATTAAATGGCATAATGTGCCTATAGAATTCGTGACTGTCCCTTTTCTTTGTCCCACCACTGTTTTTGAAATGATAATAGCTAAAATAATAAGTTAATTGAAATAGTGTTAACATAAATTACAAATAGAAGATAAAACAGTCATTACTTATTTTGCTAATTACACAGTAAACTGTAAGTTTCGCGCTTAACACTTTCTCTATTGCATAGAACGTAAGCCAAATAGGGTGTGGTTGAGGTTCTGTGCTTAGGTGTGCGAGCATATGATAATTTTATAATGACTTCTAGTTCCACGTGATGAGAGGCAGTAAGGGACAATTGTGAATAAAGAGGGTGCTGAGAGCCAGACACCATGGGTTTAGCCCATTTCTCCCATGAGTTCAGATGTCTGTTGACTCCAACAGTAACGGGCTAACTTAGTGGCACACCACTTACCCTACTGAAAACCTTTGGAATTTTTGCACTATGACATAGTCCCTTTTGAGTAACCCAGGAAGGACTAAAGAGGAGCAGTAAAGTACAATAGGTAAGATGCAAGAGTTAACAAATTGTAAAAGTAGAGGTGGAGTGATCGGTTATTGTCTTAACTTCTTAATGTAGAAAGCAGAACATGAATACACTGTGCGAATTGAAATTTCAGTGTATTATTGTTATTTGTTTGATGGTGACTAGTGGTGGAATTCAAGATGCATATTTCGTTCTATTTGGGACTCGTTATCTGAATGTACCTGCATTATCCAGTGAGTGATGGTGTTCCCACTGAGACCCGAACACAATACCCACGATTTCAAACGCCAAAGCGTTATTCATTAGACCACTCGGGTCACGAAAGCCACTTCCTGTGCAACGGGTGTCAGTTATTATTTTCTTTTTAATTCACTTTTGATTTTGCTATCAATTGATTGGAACTAAATGTTAGGCCGCACTAAGAGACGACATATCAATAAAGATCGAACATTTCGGTCCAATCAGTTAACCGGAAAGCTAAAAGCGAGTTATAAACAGAGTAATACTGTTATATTTCGTCTTTGTTATATAATTTTACATCCTGCTATCAAGCACTAATGTCTCAAAGATACAGATATGTCATAAATTTGTAGCTATTTCACCTGATTCCTTTTCGCCAAATGTGTTGTAATGTCTGTCTGTCTTTCTGCAGTATGTGACTGGAAGTTTTGATACACGAATTTTTCACTGGTCAATTTGTAGGGATTTGATTCGTCTGCAGTTCGATCATGAATTGGTATCACTTATAGAATCATTGAAAACCAAGGATGTACTGGATAGCTGTTTCGTTCCAGTTCAGAACTCATCAACAGCACGCACCCGTCGTTGGGGTTCGAACCCTGGACCTTACAGTTACAAGGCAAGCTAGGACGAAATGGAGTTGTCCAGTACTCCCTGGTTTCTAGGTTTCCAGGAGTCGGTGTAGTCCAGTCCTGTAACATCATCTTGCATTTGGCGGGAGCCAGTCGCATGCCAAACATTCGTAGATTGCAACTCAAGGTGTTCAGAAGACTCTGCGTTTTGTCGGCGTCCTCGTCTGAAAGGACTATATCGTCTGCATATTCTAAGTCAACGAGATTATTCCCTGGTAGCAAGTTAATCCAGAGTCACTGAAGTCAGTTAGGGTTAAGTCCATTAGTACATCTATGATAAAGTTGAATAGAAATGGGGATAATGGGCATCCTTGACGAACACCACTAGTCGTCACCCGTTCAGATGACAACCCGCTGTAAGCCCTCACTTGGCTGTATGAGTACGAGTAGAGTGCCTTAATCGGTGCAATGTATTTTCTCGTCATTCTCGTCATAGAATCATTGAAAACCAAGGATGTACAGGATAGCTGTTTCGTTCCGGTTCAGAACTCATCAACGGCACGCACCCGTCGTCGGGGTTCGAACCCTGGACCTTACAGTTACAAGGCAAGCTAGGATGAAATGGAGTTGTCCAGTACTCCCTGGTTTCCAATGGTTATCTAACTGATATATATCAGTCTGTCAGTCAAACTTGATACACGAATTTTTCTTCTCTCTGTGCGTTGCCTGATATTTGCTACTTCGAAATCTCTCTCTCTATTTGCGTCCATTTTCGGTTTCATTTTCTTTTGTTGTTGTGTGATGTGTTGACAACTTATACTGATATGCATATATTTGTGTTCGGAATGATATTTCAATGTGGGCGCACTTGCAGCTGTCATATGGTAACCGATTGATATTTACCAAACACTCACCAAAATGTCCTTTACTGTTTTCATGAAATACCAATGCATGAATAGTTGTTTGTCAGGCGAAGTTTAAGAATAGCGTCCCAAAACCTTCAACGCTCAAATGACCTTGAACGCATGCTAGTCGTTGGCTAACAGTTTTTGTCATTATCATAGCTGAAATATCAACCCTATTCATCAAATAAGGAGCAAGTTTCACCCAGATAACACTTTTATTACTGTTTGGACAATGTGTTAACATCTCGTTAGGGTTAGGATAGGGGTTAAGGCGAGTATTGTGGTTAGGGTTAGGGTTTGGGTTAGGGTGTAGGTTTAGGGTTATGGTTAGGGTTAGGTTTAGGGTTAGGGTTAGGGTAGGGTTAGGGTTTAGGGTTAGGGTAGCGATTAGGAATAGATTTTTCGTTTATTTCAAGTTCGTTTGTTATCCTTATTTCCCTTGTATGTAGTCGCCAATGCTCTTACTGGAACCATAGTAACTAAACCGAGGGCTGAGGAGAGGACTACACAGCAAGAGAAGAGAGATGAACCATTCCCAAAACAGCACACCTTCAGTCTCTTTGGTGAATACATCTACAGAAACTAGTCCAAATTAGCAACTGATACTCTTCATCGCAACTGGAACGTATTTTTAAGTCATATCAGAGAAATATAATCCGTTTAATGTTTTTTTCATGCATTTTTGTGTAAATATACGTTAAATTTTATGCAAAATTCCTCCTATTTTCTGATTGGTCGGCTCAAGGTCATTGTGCGTTCGCATCTCTTGGGACTCGATTCTTAAACTTTGCCGTTTGTCATTTGTTTTCTTGTTTTTTTTTAAAAATTTTCTTGTCGCAGCCTACTTAACAGCTTTATTTGCATCATGGATTGTAAAAAATAATATATCGGCTGAACAAGTTCTCAGTTTCTATCAAGGATTGTGCAGGAAATCATTTATAAGTGAAGATTGTAGTAGTACAAGAGATTTAGCCATTACGGATCCGGTCCACCTTAGACAAGGTATGTGCAAAATTCTTTTATATGATATATGCATATATGGGAGTTGACAGGATTATGTCTTCAAAAAAATAGTTTGTGAAAAGACTATTGGGGATTTTGTGTATTTGTGACATTAGCAAAGAGTATTTTATTTTACTGTCATGTTCCGTTATTTTAATACTATGTATTCTCTTTCTCTGAAAATCTGCGTATTTTGCGTCTTATTTATTATTATTTATTTAAACGCACAAACCTTGGTACAATATGGCACCAAGAAGAATGCGCCACACAGTAATAATAAAACAACATAGATCAAAAGAAAAAAAGAAAGAAAAAATATATAAATAGAGAACGGATAAAGAACTTCATCTGGAAGGAAAACAGTCATGCTTAACAAGTTCAAACAGTGTTCGTCAACTATCATCGGGAAGGGAAGAAAGAAGGAAATTGCAACACATTCGCCATTGATTACGATTCTTGGCCATATCCGATAACGTTTCGAGCCATCGATTTGAGCTATCTCTCGGACCCCAACCAGGGAGTCGTGACACACCAACCGATGCTAATCTAGCACAAAAATCCTTCATCCCACGACGCCACGTCATGGACTGACCACCTCTCCGCCTTTTCCATCCCGTCCCAGGGCTAGCGAACAGAGACCTGTACGGAAGCCTCTGGGGTGACATTCGCAGCACATGTCCAAGCCACCGGAGCCGGTGTTTCCAGATGACGACATTCAATGAATGGTGATCTCCACTGTGTTCAAACACACGCCGCCGAACCTCAGAATTACTCACGCGATGATGCCATCGAACGCAAGCAATCCTGCGGAGACAGCGGTGATCGAACACGCAGAGTCGCCGCACATCCTCAGACTCGGAGAGGCCAGGTTTCACAGGCGTAGAGCAGGCAGCCCGCACCGAAGCATTGTATACCCGACCTTTGACAGCCAGGCTAACGTCGCGACGGCGCCAGAGGTGGCTCAAGTTGATGTATGCCACCCTAGCCTTCATTATACGGTTGGAAATCTCATCCGTCACCCCTCCGCCAGCACTCACACAACTACCCAGGTACACAAACTTATCAACAACTTCAAGCGGTTCACCCGCAAGAGTGAGTGCAGGTACAGGCTCCTGCCAATCTTGTAACAGTACTTTGCACTTAGACGGCGCAAAGCACATACCATACTTACAGACACTGATCGCCAACTGATTAAGTGCGATTTGGGCAGCCTGCATGCTATCGCACAGTAAGACGATATCGTCTGCATACTCGAGGTCGAAAAGTCTATCTCCAGGTAGCAGATCTACACCACCTTCACGCACATCCTTCAGAGCTGACTCCAGAATGTCATCGATGGCAAAGTTAAAGAGAAATGGAGAGATTGGGCAACCCTGTCTAACCCCACTGTTGGTTGGGAACAGTGGTGATAGTTGGTTGTATGCCCTCACTCTACCTGAGGTGTTTCTGTATAGGGCTTTCAAGATGTTAACAAATTTCTCAGGTACACCTCTCTCTAACAGACAGTTCCAGAGCACAGTTCTGTCCAACGAATCGAAGGCAGCCCTAATATCAAGAAACACAACGATCGTTGGCCTGCAATACGTGTGGCGGTGTTCCAACAACTGACGAAGGGTGAACACATGATCAATGCATCCACGACCTGAACGAAACCCAGCCTGCTCTTCGCGAATCAATCCTTCACGTATTTTGCACAGTCTGCGAAGCAAGACAGCAGCCAATATTTTAGACGCGACTGGTAACAGACTGATACCCCTATGATTGTCACACGAATTACGTCGACCCTTTTTAAAGATGGGGACGATAATGGCTTCGTTCCACATTGATGGTACACTCTCTGTCTCCCATACCTTCCTGAAAAACCCAGTTAGAGCCATTGTGAGAGTCTCGCCACCATCTTTAAAAAGAGCCGGGGGTAAATTGTCTGGACCGGGCGCCTTATGGCGTTTCAACACTTGGAGTTCCTTACGGACCTCCGCTTCGGCGGGTGGGTCGGTGCTAACAGTGTCTAATCTTTCGCGTGAGCGCCTTTCGCTTATTGTTGTATTCGCTGCCAGCCGAAATGGACCGGCGTTCATCCAGGAGTTGCAAGGAACTCGCAGAAACCCCGTGGTTTTTATCGGAGCATTCTTTCAAGCCGCAAGTGGCTACACTCACCCTTTGCATGGCACCTTACAGATGAAGCCAATGTTCATCTATACTACTTGGGGGGTTGCTGGCAAGCAGTGATTGTAACTCATTCTGATATTTCAAAGAAGTAGCAGGTGCTACTAGTTTGCTCACATCAACATTTAGACGACGGCTTTTATGAACCCCACCAAATCGCAAGACGAACTTGGCACACACTAACTCATGATCGGAGTCCAGGCATTTGCTCGAGAAGGAGCGACAGTCTTGTATGCATCCTCGCCACCGGAAACTGACAGCAATATGATCAATCTGAGTCCAAGCTTGCTTCGCAAAGGGAGGACGCCAGGTAGCGCTACGGCGATGGCTGTTCCGGAAGTTGGTGCTGGCTAGAAATAGGTTGTGATCCGCGCAAAGCTGCAGAAGACGGTCCTCATTATCTGACCTGCGAACCTGTAGTCCCCACTGACCACCTAGACGATTCTCCTCTGAGCTTAGACGCCCGACCTGTGCACTCAAGTCCCCAGCCAGCACTACGATATCCCTCCGACCCGCCTGTTTCAAGAGATGGCTGAGTTGGTAGTATAACTCATCCTTCATTGCATCCGGGCTGCAATCCGTCGGTGCATAGGCAGAGATAACAAATAGACACCGCCTATCTGGCCTACTACTCCTTACTTTCGTATAACCTTCCAGCCTCACAGCACATAAACGACTGTTATTGGGAATCTAGTCGAGCATTGCAGCTTCGGCTCTAGCGCTCAGTGCGACACCGACACCAGCTACGCCGGATGCCGATGCCACAGGGTCCCCGGATAAGCGCAGGTGGTACTTACTGCTAGAACTTCCAGATGAAGAGGATAGTCGAAACACTTCACTGGGATCTTGAATGCGGGTCTCCGAAATGCAGCAGGCATCGATAGCGAGGCTTTCCAAAGTTCTTACCAACCTGCCTGTTGTCCGATTCGCATCAGCGTCCGAACATTGTAGGTGGCCAGCTTGAACGCGGCACGCGGTTTCAGGATATCTGTGTTAGATGTCAAATTGGGGACAACCATTTTGAGGATTACTCACTAACATCTCGAAATGACACAGATAGGCTGGGAATCTCGACAAAGGCGAAAGGTTGTCGAAGGTTAAGAAGTCAAGGTTAGCAAAGGTAAAATACAGGAAACTATGTTTAAAATCAAAAGTAAGGTTGGAAGGACATAAGTTTTTCGAGGGATCATTATTGCTTGAAATCATTTTTACCAGCGCGCGATGAATTTCCATCACAATTTGTTGTTTTACTTCATTTCTTGTGTGAGGGCTGAGATACTGCCCGGGCGCCCAGACCGAAGCAGGTGGTTTTATTAAGGGACCACCCCGCGAGCCTTTGACTTGGAGTCTAATCCACAAGGCAGCAGAGCAGCGTCAGGAGCTGCATTCCCATGGTTTCCGGTGACCCATATGGGTTCATACGCCATTTGATCCAATTGAATACTGGAGCCCATGTACCCCATGGTAACTGCTTTTAGTTTAACCGCTATCCAAACAACCTTCCTGACATGGTAGGACCTGCAGGACATTGGTTCTAGCCAGTGTAACTTGTTGGGTCATTGCGGTATTCAAGCCCGGCCACCACGGCAAGGTAGCAGTTGTCAGCGGGATTTCGCCTCTTAACTATGCTGTCTTTTCCTTCCTTTTTTTATATGATACTTTTAAGTATTCCGTTGGCGGGTTTAACAGGAATGCGTTGATTGTTATTCACTATTGAGAGTTGAAATGCACTAGATAGTTTTTTTATCCTGGTCTAACATTTTCACATAGCCAAATTAGTTCACAGCTGCGTATATGATCCCATTCAAGCTTGTCAATTTTCATGCCTTTTATGTTATCAATAAGTAATTGGTGTGAAATCCGGTATTTTGTATTCTTAACTTTTGTGAGTTCACATTTTAACTTTGTCATTTAATAAAGATCTTTCTAGCTGCTGACTTGATTTTTGTCTCACTGCTTGCCTGGTGAGTGGAACATAGAGGAATTCAAACCATAATCTCCAACAGATAGTTAATCTAGTCTTACTTTAAGGATAAGATATCGCTTTTGGCCACCTCAGTGTGTATTTATCAGTTTACTTAGTCGTGTGGTGCGAAGTAGTATATCAACCGTACGCAACGTCAAGTCCACAAACGTATTCTGGAGATTTGTCTTGTTTAGTTAGCTAGCGGAGAAAAGAAGAATAGTAGCAGCTCCATCCTCTAACACCTTGTCAACTCTGTACATCGAGCACCCCCTCATGAATACTTCACAGTGCTACACAGAGTCCGACAATATCGTATAAAGGGACTTGTCATACGCCATCTGCACACAGCTGAATCATTAGCTATTCGGGATCTGAAATCGCACCTCTGCATTCAAAAGCAATACATACATTCACTCACCTAACCGAGGCCAGAGTAACGTTCATACTATGATACTGGTTCTTTTTGTTATCTTATGAAAATAAATCGTCGAAATAAAATTTCCTTCGCTGTTAACGTCTTTTTCTAATGACTCAAACCATATTCTTTGGTGTTTCAGTGACTTTGTGGTGTTGCACATATGGGGTGGAGTTGCTAGCCTTACATCTCCCACCTTCTCCCTTTTCCAAGATTAAGGAGTGCGTCGTCTGAGAATGAAACCCGACCGATAGCTGCTACGTTGGCGTGGTGGCCGGGCTTGCACATCGCGATGACCCAACAAGTTACACTGGCTAGAACCAATGTTCCTGCAGGTCCTACCATGCCAGGAAGGTTGTTAGGATAGCGATTAGACTAAAAGCAGTCACCGGCATTGTGTAAAATCTTTCTTACACTGTGCTGGGGGTCTGTAGGCGAAGTCGTACTGCTGAG